GGGAACTGAACCAGTGGCAGCGACCGAACTCTCCTCCCCATCCATGCCTGAACTGGCTGCAGAGAAAGATGTGCTATCCTTGGCTGCATCTGCCTCTCACTTTTTAGGTGAGGAGGAGGGGCATTCATCTCAAGTCTCAGAGACAGCTTCACTTTCTTCTTCTCGGAGCGCAGTTAGTGGGTCTGGTGACGGCTCGAGGCAAGACGTCATGCATATGGCCCTGAGACAACTGCAGCTGGATGTCCCGCAACCAGAGGAGTCCACCCCTGGAAGTGCCTTCTTCAGGCGCGGAATGACCCCTCCTTACTTTTCTGTCCCACCATCAGAGGAGTTCCTGAGGGAGTTGCATGGTTTCTGGCGAGACCCCAAAGCCTTTGCACACCTCTCCGCAGAGGGCCGAGTGTTGGCGGCCATGCATGAGCCAGCTGCAGCAAGCTTGGATCGCATGCCGGCGATAGAACCTGCTGTTGCCTCTCTCATCGTGTCACCAGAGGAAGCTCTGCGCAGTGATGTTTGGTGCCAACGAGCTCAGTGTCACGTCATGGATGAATTCCTCTGCAGAGCCTATGCCGCCAGAGCACATTCTGGCCGCTTAGGCAATTCCTTGGCACACCTCATGCTTGCCCTCTCTGCGTCCCTTCAGGGGACTAGTGGTGCGACAGCAGCAATGGGCTTTAGCGATGCAGCGCTTCAGGCCTTTGCACTAATGACGAGGGAACTTGGGCGCGTGATGTCCTCCTTGGTCCAGGCTCGCCGACAGGTCTGGTTGGTGCAGTCAGCATTGACTGAGCCATGTCGTAGAACCCTCCATAATGTCCCAGTGGTGCCGGGGGAGTTGTTCGGTTCGACTACCTTGGAAGCGCTGGAACGGACTGTCCAGGCACGACAGAGATGGCAGCAACTTTCAAGCCTTAGCAGGGCAATGTCTCCTCCACCTCCTCGGCATCCAAGGCGCCCGTCGGCTGACCCCAGCATTTAACCGCCGCCTTGGGGTCATAATCAGCCGGGTGGTCTTTACCCTCGTGCGGTTCAGCAAAGGCCCAGCAGGAGCTTTCGTGGGTCGGTCCACTGACCAGCTGGGCAGGCTCGGACCAGGGACTCCCACACACACACACACACACACGGCCCCTGGAGGGAGATGGTGATGTCATCAGGCCGACCGTCGGATATTTCTCCCACCAGCCGCTCAGTTACTGGGCTGCTCACGCCGTGGACCCATGGGTGGTTGCCACTCTGACCCATGGTTACCGACTACAGTTCCGACAGCGGCCTCATATCTCACGCCAGGTCAAGTTGATTGTAATCGCCGACCTGGTGAAAGCTCGAGCATTAGACCAGGAACTTTCTGCCCTCCTGGCCAATGGCACAATAGAGGCAGTGGACCCTCTGCAACAACCCAGAGGCTATTACTCGACTTACTTCCTTGTGCGAAAGAGGACAGGCGGGTTTCGTCCCATTTTAGATCTGAGGGGACTCAACCAGTACCTAAGGGAGCTGCCCTTCCACATGCTCATGACAGCAGAAGTCCTTCAAGCTGTCATGAGGGAAGAATGGTTCACGTTTGTAGACCTGAAGGATGCATATTTTCATGTGCCTATTGCAGCAGAACATCGCTGCTTTCTCAGGTTTGCCTATCGAGGTCACCACTGGCAGTTCCAGGTACTCCCATTCGGGCTCTCTCTCTCCCCGAGGGTGTTCACTCTGTGCGTGAAGGCAGCCCTCTCTCCTCTGCAGGCCTGTGGAGTGAAGGTTCTGCTGTACTTAGATGATTGGTTTCGCTGCGCCCCGTCTCAGGCCTGTGCCTTTCACGACACAAACCGCCTGCTTGCTCATGTATCCCAGTTGGGCCTCAATGTCAACCTGGAGAAGAGCTGCCTGATTCCTTCCCAGACGATCACCTTTCTTGGGGTGGTTCTGGATTCATCTTCCATGAGAGCTCGCCCATCTGCTCAAAGGGTGGCCGGCATACTCCAGCTGGTCAGTCGGTTCAGGCTGGGCAGGCAACTACTCGGCAAGCTGACATCAGTCACTCGGGTGGTGCCCTTAGGCCTGTTGTCACTTCGCCCCTTGCTCAACAGCTTTCGCCTGGATGCCAGGCTGCACAGGCATTGCAAGCTTGCAGTGACGTGGTCATGTCTTCATGCCCTGACTCCATGGAGGAACGAAGATTATTCGTCCAGGGGTGTCCCCATAGGAGTGGTACTGTGTCTCAGGGAAGTGGTCACAATAGATGTCAGCTCCATGGGATGGGGGGCTGTGTGGCAACGCAGAGCGGTTCAGGGCAGCTGGGGCCAAAGGGACTGCTCCAAGCATATAAATGCTCTAGAGCTGCGTGTAGTGTACTTGGCACTCAGGCACTTCCTGCCTCACCTGGAAGGGAGGCATGTTCTTGTTCGGTCAGACAACACCTCTGTTGTCTACCACATCAACCATCAGAGGGGCACCAGGTCAGCACAACTTCTGATAGTGTCCAGAGAGCTCCTGGAATGGGCCTCTCCTCGCCTGTCCACCCTGCGGGCAGCGTACTTACCAGGGCGACACAATCAGGTCGCAGATTTTCTCTCTTGCCAAGGGTCCACTCGGGGAGAGTGGTCCCTCCACAGCGACATAGTGCTGATGATCTGGGACCGTTTTGGTCAGGCAGAGATAGACCTGTTTGTGACGAAAGAGTCGACTCGGTGTCCCCTATGGTACTCTCTTACGGGGGCGTCGGGTGCGCTGGGCCAGGACGCATTGTCTCATCCTTGGCCAAGGGTCCTCCTATATGCCTTTCCACCCCTTTCTCTAATTTGACCAACCCTTCAGAGAGTCCTCAAGGAGGGCCACAGGATGCTGCTGGTGGCTCCATATTGGCCAGTGCGACCATGGTTCCCACTGCTACAAAGTCTGTCAGGGCATCCCATGGTGTCTTCCAACCAGGAGGGACTTGCTGTCTCAGTTGGGGGGGACTGATATGGCACCCCAATCCTCAACGTCTTCGGCTGTGGGTGTGGCCACTGCAAGGCTAGGACAGCAGCTGACGAGTTTCGAGCCCTGTTAGACGCACCATCCTGGGCGCCAGAGCACCCTCTACTCGTCAGCAGTACGAAAACAGGTGGCGTCTGTTTTCCCAATGGTGTTCTGATCACAACGAGGATCCAGTCTCCTGTACAGTACCCACCATTCTGGAGTTTCTCCAGTCTCTCCTTGGTAAGGGTCGCTCTCCTTCGACGCTTAAAGTTTATGTAGCGGCAATATCATCTAATCACGCTAGCATTGATGGCTGTACGGTAGGGAGCCATAATCTAGTCTCTCTTTTTCTGCATGGTGCCCATAGGTCACACCCGCCGACAGCTCCACGAGCACCAGGTTGAGACCTGCGCTTGGTTCTTGAAGCTCTGTGCCGCCCTCCTTTCAAGCCTCTGACACAGGCGGACCTCAAGTGGCTTTCATGCAAGACAGCTTTTTTGTTGGCTATTGCCTCAGCAAAGAGGGTCAGCGAGCTACATGCTCTCTCAGTCAGCCCCTTATGTCTCAGGGGGGCCCTGAGGGCTCTTGTGTTACCTTGTGGCCAAACACTACATTTGTACCAAAGGTATTATTTCACTCTCACTGTAACCAACCGTTGAGGCTGACACGTTTTCAGCCTACGCCTGGTGAGGGGCCTGGATTATTGTGCCCGGTGAGGGCACTGGAGGCATACGTTGTAGCTACTGCAGTGATAAGACATTCAGACCAGCTGTTTGTGTGTTATGGAGGCCCTAGTTTAGGCTGTCCTCTTTCCAAACAGCGCCTCTCCCACTGGATCGTGGAAGTCATCTGCCATGCCTATGCTGCAGGGCCCGGCCCCCTGCCGGTAGGCTTGAAGGCACACTCTACCAGGAGCGTCTCCGCTTCCTGGGCTGCCCTGAGAGGGGTTCCGCTGGAAGCAATATGTGCTGCTGCATCACGGGCTTCCCCAAGCACGTTCACCAGATTTTACAGAGTTAATGTTGCCACCCCTCATCCCCTGGGCCAGGTTATTCTACAGGTCCTCTAGGCCTCCTCAATGAGGTGGGTGTTTAGGATTCCTTGTGACATCGTTGGTATTAGTCATTCAGTGCTTTCAGCACCGCCCTCTGGTGGTCATCCATGATTCATAGAACTGTAGTTACATACGTAACTTTCGTTAGATATAGGTCTATAATTGGCTTGGATTCCTGAGTCAAGGTTACGTTTTTTAAATAAAGGTTTAATTATAGCAACCTTAAAGTTTTGTGTGTACGTAACTGTTTATTAGAAACAAATTAAGCAGATTCAAGACGTGATTATTAAGGGAAATGCGTCTTTAAAGAGTCTGGTTGGGATGGGATCTAGCAGACATGTGAATGGTTTGGATGAAGCTATTATAACTATTGCATCCAGTCCAGTTTGCTGTCTAACAACAGTCCAAGGTACTTATTATTGATTACTGATACTGATTAATGAGAGTGTATTATACTGTATTCCATATTTTTTGTTATTTACCCAATTTTTGTAGCAAAAAGATCAAAATAAAAAAATAAACAACAACCTTTGACTTGATCAAACTAGACGAGAAGTATCCATTAAATTAAATCTTTTAGCAAAAGAAAACAACCATGAAGTAATTTTCCAGACTCTGGAAGCAAATCTGTAAAAGCCATGTGGCAAATCCCTTCCTGACATGTGAGAAGGACATATTCAGTCGTACCTGGTTTTACTCAAGTGGCTTTCTCATAGAGATCAGGATGTTTGTGTGCCTTTACTTTTTCCCTTCATTGTTTTAAAAAAAAAGATTTTTTTCTTTTTGCACGCCAGGTAACAAATGGAGCTAAACCATAATGATAATTTCCTAGTCATAAGGAGTTCCTTCTTTTCTTTTAAGTGTTTTTCTTATATCCTGATGCATGTTTTTCTTATCTGTAGTGGCCCTTTCCTAACCAGACCATCCACATTTAGAAAATGGTATTTGGAAATGTTTTTATTGTTCTTAATATTAGTTCTTTGTGTTTTTTTTACAGCTAACAGGTATTCCTCTGAATGTGTCCGTCCGCCTTCAGCTCAACCTTTATATGAAGAAAGTGTCAGGAATTACGTAAGAGAGTGCTTGCGTACATTAAAACTCCATCCAAACTGCCATGTATTGTTTAACACCAGAGGCTCATGAATATTTCCTGTCTTTCTTTTTTCATTTTAACTGTAATGTGTTTGTTGATCTTGTAGAGAAACTGGCAAAATTTCTGAGGTGGTGATGCCCATGCTATGGTTTGAGGAGGTAAGGTGTTTAATCTTTTTAAATTATCGAACTGTGGCTTGTAATTTGATCAAGTGACAGCCTGTCTTTTTCACATGGGCTATTGCACTTTTTATTTCAAGCTCGGGTCCTTTTTTGACCTTTTGTAACTCATCAATTAATTAATTTTACATTGTGCTACTTTTAAAGTCGGTGGTCATTAAACAACTCCTCAGACATTCTGTACTCAAGATTACTTCAACAGATTGTGCAGAAGCCAGTGTTTAAATGTAATGTGGCAGACTTTAGAAATTAGAAATAAAGGAAGAGTGGTCTGATTAACCCCAATGTAAAGTTCATTACACTAGTTAAATCAGATTGTGAAAAAGGCATGGACTGTTTTCTTTAGGTCAGGTTAAGTTAATACTGACAAGTTTTGCTTTCTGTCTTAATTGAAACAAGCTTTTCTACAGAAAGAGTTTATCTGTTTATTAAAATTAAAATCAAAGTAAAAAAATCTACATAATTGGTGGACTGTTTAAAATACAACTCTGGAGAGGCAAGGTTTGCAGGAGGAGTGTCGGAGGTAGAAGCTTGATGACATTTCAAGACTTTTCAGTAGAGGGTGGGTGTTGATAGGATTATCTGGCTTTAAGAAAAGGTAAATCTGACAATCATCGACATAACAAAGAAAGGAAATGCCATGTTTTCTGACAATAGACCTCAAAGGGAGCAAATACATTGAAATGGGAATGATCTGAGAGTTAAACCCTGAGGAACCCCGCAGAAAAGAAGTGCTGTATAGACAAAAAAAATTCCAACATTAACAGAAGCTTCTGTCACTCTGGTAAGAATGAGTGGTGGAAGAGCCAAGTTGCCATCAGCACACCACCTGACTGAACCAACCCAAAGATGAGGAAGGGGGTGTAGAATGTAGTAATTGGTCTTTAATGGTTTATTTTATTTTTAAGAAAGTAAAATTAGAATCAATAAACACTGTTTTAGTCTTATTGCTGGGAGTGACGACGTGTTTTAAAGTCCAAAAAAAGTCTACTGCTAAAAGGAAAGTAGCTGTTCCATCTGCTCTTTTTAGCAAACACCTACGTATATAATAAAAATATAAAATGTCCACATTTATTATTAAGTCTTTGTGCAGAGCTGTTGTTCAAATGGGGAAAAAAAACATCCTACTTTACATGCATTAATGCTTTCTGAGGATTGAAAATTAGATTTTAGTATTTTGCATTTTGATGTGCGATTGTGATCTGTCCTGTCACAGAGTGGGTACATAGATGGACCAGTCCTCACAACATTTCACACAAACCTGGTTGTTCTACCTGCTGTGATGGAGTACATTCAGTACATCTTCATAGCTCTCGGCCTAGTAACAATTATTGTTGCCTCTCTGGTGCATTACAAAGCCAAGGTAAGTCTTATGAAGGTATTTTGATGTTCACCTGCTTGTAGCATGTTGCACAGTTTTGTGCATGTTCCTCCCACTAACAATGGAAATAAGACTAGGAGAAATTGAATAGAAGGAGTTTTTTTTTTTTTTGACTAAAAAGACAGTCTGTAAATGATTATTGATGCAGAATAAATACGTTGGGAAGTCTAATTCTTTCTAACTTCTTACCTCACTGATCCCATTGTTGAGGATGTGCTCTTAGCCTCCAGCAACTTCTCACAAGTGTGTAATTTTTATGTTTGCCAACAACACTTGATATGTTATTAGAAGTTTTATAACCAGACCTTTTTAAAGTTTATTATTTACATTATTTTGTAGTTTTAAAATAATCATTTTGAGATTTTTTTCATGTAATCCCTCCTTCTCTTTTGCTAACGCATGTTTAAACACCACATTAACTTCACCCTTTGATTTCATACTGAGGGAATAAGAATAAGAAGAGGAAAAGCCCAAATCTCTCAATTCAGTTTATTTATATAGCTCCAATTCACAACAAAGTTGTCTCAGGACACTTTACGGGAACATTCACATACATAGAAAAGCCAATTAGTAAAGTTCTCCATCTAAGGAAGCAGCAGACAAGTTGAATCTTGACTTCATTGCAGTCTATCATCCTGAGCAAGCACAGTGGCAACAGTGGAAAGGAAAAAATCCCTTTTAACAGGAAGAAACCTCCAGCAGAACCAGGCTCAGGACAAGCGGCCATCTGCTTTGACCGGCTGGGTTTAAGAGGACAGGAAGGAGGAACAGATAGATACACAATGACAGGTCCAGATGTTGGTGCAGGTGTACCTGAAAGACAGAAACGCATGTCAAGGATATAAAAAAAATATTACAAATACAATACTCTCAAAAGTTGCAGTCTGATAAAATCCTTCAGCTGCCTATTGTACTTCTTGCTCATTTATCTTCATACTCTTGACAACCTGTAAATAAGTGTTTATCAGTTATGACTTAATTAGCTGTGATACATTATATAGTGTTGATCAGTAGTCCAAAGTAACATTCCTTGTGTTGTCATCCAGCCGTATAAACACATGTGATGTGCTATGACAGGGTTTCATTCTCAAAAACATATTATTTTTTTCTTCTTGTATTGATTTGACTGCACATAAACTGAGATATTTTTCTGGGTTTGTAAGAAAGAAAACTTCTTGGATAATGTTAAGCTACAGTATTTAAAAGGAGAGGCCAACACATACAGTACCTTGAAAAAGTGTCCATACTCCTTGAACTTTTCCAAATTTGTCATGTTATAACCACAAACTTCCAAGTGTTTTACTGAGATTTTATGTTGTATACCAACATAAATTGGCAAAATGGAGGGGCACATAGTTGAGCATTATGTTGTGATTGTTGGCCAGGGATGGAGGTAGCAGCGCACTACATTAGTACTGCTGAGGGATTAGCGGACCACCACGTTACTAATTCTAGATCGAAGCCACTTATCTTGTGGCGAGCAGTCTTTGGCAACAATCTCCGCTCCCCGACCGTTAGCGAAACTTGCAAAGGCAGAATTGAGGTATGAGCATTTATTTTTTTTCTTGTACAAGTCCTAATCCTCTGCATATTTTTTTTTCCTTTTATCAGGTTGTCTAACCATAAATAAATAATGCTTAAGAAGACCAGTTAAAAATTTTAATTTCAGTAGGTAAATTATCATGAAGTTGCTACTTCTCCTGTCCTTCACTCACTCATCCTGTTCACCTGAAACCATATAAATGCTGCTGACCAATCACTTTATGTGACTGCTATCATGCACGTGTATACATTTTACACTGTACGTAATTGATAGATTTGTATTCATGTAAAAATGTTGGTCCTTCCTCCTCATTATTGTATGCTACTTTGTGTCTATCCCAGAAAATCCCAGTAAAATAATTTTTTGGTTCTAAAATGACAAAATGTGGAAAGTCCATAGTTTTTCATGGTACTGTAGTTCAGTTTAGTCTCTCGATGTTGACATATAGGAAGATGCAGTTGGTTATTTTTTATTTTACTAAAACAAATTTAGCTCACTCAGATCGGCTGCTTCATGATGTCTACCCTCAACATGTCGGTCTTATCAGCATCATTCATTACTTAAATTATGAAACGTGTTATCACTCGCGTTGTAAAATGTCATAAACCAAGCTATCATGGTAAATAAGTGTTTAGTCTGTTATGCCACTCAGCAGTGTTTTTGCTTTGGATCTGTGGCAGACAGTCAGCAGGTCTTGAAGCAGATTGAGTACAGGTGTTAACAAGTTCAAATTGCATTAAAATAGTTTTAATAAATGATGACTTGTAGGTTTAATGTGATTGTCTAAATGTCTTCACATTTGTTTTTCCAGAGGCCTAAAAATATGGTTGTAATCTCCACAGTGTCAGAAAAACTTGGGGTTTGTAAAAGTTTTTCATGCAAATCATCCAAATTCAAATTATTTATCTAAGAAGCTCTCGTCATTTTAAACTTTGGTCATCAACTTGATTCTTTCTTTCTTGTTTTTGATTTAATTTTTTTTTTTAATGCAACACAAATTTTGATTATCAAAATCTGGGGTTTGCTTTGTTTGAAAATGTGCCAAAAATCCAAATTTTCTGCAGGCAAAAAATGTTTCTTATTAAATTAAACATCAAATTATCTGTCAAAGCACACAGGAGGCAGAGCATGTAGCCAACAGTAAGTGTTTTGTTTACTTCACATTATTTACTTTATATGGTGCATTGGGTTTACATTTTCATTAATGTACGCTGTGGGTAAAGGGAATAATTACTCTATTATTACTCACCAACCAAACAGGCTAACAGAAAAAAAACACCTGTTTATCGGCGAGACTTTGTTTATACCAATTAATAAAACTGTAAATCACTCCGTTGTTTTTCAAACCCCCACTTATGTGCATAATGCACATAAACTGAACAACATACAGGACCTTCTGAAAAAATTAGCATATAGTGATAAAGGGCATTATTTTCCTTAATGTAATGATAAAAATGAAACTTTCATATATTTCAGATTCATTGCACACCAACTGAAATATTTCAGGTCTTTAATTGTTTTAATACTGATGATTATGGCATACAGCTCATGAAAACCCAAAATGCCTGTCCCAAAAAATTAGCATATTTCATCCCACCAATGAAAGACAAGTGTTTTTAATACAAAAAACACCAACCTTCAAATAATCATGTTCCGTTATGCACTCAATACTTGGTCGGGAATCCTTTTGCATGAACGACTGCTTAAATACGGCGTGGCATGGAGGCAATCAGCCTGTGGCACTGCTGAGGTGTTATGGAGGCCCAGGATGCTTCGATAGCGGCCTTAAGCTCATCCAGAGTGTTGGGTCTTGTGTCTCTCAACTTTCTCTTCACAATATCCCACAGGTTCTCTATGGGGTTCAGGTCAGGAGAGTTGGCAGGCCAATTGAGCACAGTAATACCATGGTCAGTAAACCATTTACCAGTGGTTTTGGCACTGTGAGCAGGTGCCAGGTCGTGCTGAAAAATGAAATCTTCATCTCCATAAAGCTTTTCAGCAGATGGAAGCATGAAGTGCTCCAAAATCTCCTGATAGCTA